CCACCCCCTACTGATGATACCCACCCCCTACTGATGATAGCCACCAACTACTGATGATATTAGGGATCGGCCGGGCCGATTATCAGTGCCGATTTTCAGCATTTTTATGCATATGGACATTGACCTTTTTTTTAATCCGACGGCCGATAAGAGATCAATTTCAAACCGGGTTATTTGGGCTCTGATGCAGCCACGCCTCTCTGTCTCCAGCATTGTCCCACCCACAGCACCATCTGATTGGTTACACACAGAGCCAGGTAACAGCCAATCAGCAGTGAGAGCTGTGCATGCACACTGCTCACACACACACGGCAGAGAGGAGAAACATTTTTGACAAGAGGATATGTGTGTGTATGTGTGTGGGTTAGACATCCAGTCCGGTAATAACGGGTCTCTGTGGCTGACGTGAGCTGAAGGTAGTGGGAGTGTGTGTTGCGCATTTAGGGGGCACGTCAGCTGTGTGTGTGTGAGTGAGACGGCTGAACAGAGGGTCGCAGGGAGAAGGATCTGAACGCCCGTGTTTCGGCTACAACACTCCGCGAACCGATCCCAAACAAGCCCAAATTTGTATCCACCCGCCTAGCAACGTGATCGCGTCTCACTTTCAGCAGAGTGACGCTGTGCAAGTGCAACTCCTGTGGCCTGTCCCGTCATGCAGTGCGCCCACTCGCAAAGCAGCCGCTGATGTGTTTTGTTCCAAAGTCGAATATTAATTTTCACAATCGAATCTCCGTTTTTAAAAAATATTTGAATATATATTCGAATTTAGAATATTCGTTGACAGCCCTAGTGTGAGTGAGTGAGAGTGAGTGAGTGAGAGAGAGAGATGCTGCTGAGCCTTGGAACTCCCTGCACTTTTTGTTTTTGTTTGAACTGTAAACTTTATTTATAGTTATGGGTTGTTGCCTATGGTGTACTTTTATAGGGTTAGGGTTAGTATCTGATGATAGCCACCACCTACTGATGATAGCCACCAACTATTAATGATACCTACCACCTACTGATGATAGCCACCACCTATTGATGATACCTACCACCTACTGATGATAGCCACCCCCTATTGATGATACCTACTACCCACTGCTGGCGACCCAGGCTTTGTGCTGCTCTAACTTTGTGTATTTAGTGTGTAGGTGTTATGTCAAGTTTGTCCTACATCTGATGTTTTTTTAAATTGCCTAATGTTACTGACTTTCTTTCTAAGGTGGTAACTTGCTCACAAACCAAGACCCTAGCATTAGCCAGCTAGCACGCCAGCTGTCACCAACTTGGGCTATGAAAACCAACGCTGGGTTTCAATGGTAAAACATCTGACTGCAGAAGTTATGGCACCACTTGTGACTTAGGTGCTTTTATTTCTGGTGACTGGTGAACTCCTGTCTTTGAGTTTGCCCTCCCCACTGGTGCACATGGAAACTGGGATTGTATACTCCAGAGGTGCCTTCCTAGCTCTGCGAGGTCGCTGCGCAAAAAAATGGATGAGCTCCTCGTAAACACAAGATACCATCACAAATACAGAGACTTGTGTATTATGGTGCTTACTGAGTTGTGGTTTTTCTAGGGCATACTAGACTCTGATTCAGCTGAAGGGCTTCTCCTGCTTACTGTCAGATTGAAAGGAATCATCGGGAAAGTGCAGAGATGCAGGCGTATATGTCTACCAAAGTAATAGCTGGTGCAAGCAAGTCATGATAAGAGACACTATGTGCAGCCCTGACTAAGACATGCTCTGTCTCTCTTTGCGATCGTTTTACCTTCCTAGACAATTTGGGAACATCATTATCTGTGCTGCTTATATTCCTCCAAGTGGTAATGCAAAAAAAGCTGCAAATCTCCTGGCTGAATGCACCCACACTCCAGGGGCCCCTATCTTCATCCTTGGTGTTTTTAATCACTGCAATCTGGCATTGCCTGGTTTGAACCAGTATGCAAAATGTGGTACTAGAAATAACACTGTTCACATATCAGAAGTGCGTACGAAGCTCAAGCCTTTCCTCCTCTCTCTAACTCAGATCATTCTACTGTTCATCTGTCGCCCACATACAAATCTGTGCTTAAGTCATGCAGGCCCCAGCTAAAGACTGTGATGCAATGGTCTAAAGATAGCATTGAAACTTTAAGAGGCTGTTTGCGGGCTGGTTGTTGGTGTTTGAGGGTTGGTTGTTGGTGTTTGAGGGTTAGGGTTAGAACGACTGTAACAAGAACGTTTCACATATGAAGAGAGAAAAGAATGGTTTATTTTATGATTTGATTATTTTGGCTCAGACTTTAAGATCTAAATGATAAACTGTAGTTTTTATCAAACACATCAGGTACCTGGTTCAACGGTACTGTGGCAGCCCTGCTCACACTGGGAATCGCACAGAGCTGATTATTATTGATTTAATAATAAAAACACAATGTTCCACAGATCATTTAAATACATTTAAATGAAGTGACTGATCAGACGAGGGTACTAACACGTGTACTTCAGTTGTTATTTTAATAAATTGTACTTCTGAGTGTTGTTGCAGAATACTTTTTACTCTGTTACATTTATGATGAAGAAAAATTACTTCTACTCTGTTACATTGGGCCTCACACTTCCTCTATTTTTCATGTCTATGATTTTTTCATTTCTCCACTCAGTAGTACTTTTACTTCTACTTGAGCTGTTATAATTATAAAGTAACAATACTTTTACTTGAGTACTGTTTACTCTACCATCATGTTCCCTCAGTTCTAGATCAAAGTCAAAGTGACAAAACAAAATATTGTTGTATTTGTCATACTGTAGGGGGCGCTGTCAGTGCAGGAGCATGAATAAAACGTTATCTGGTTTCTTTGAGAAAACCAAACACAGAGAGAGAGAGAGAGAGAGAGAGACGCAGCTGACGATCGACTTTTAACTTTCGACGTTTAAAACCTTTCACATTTAAGACTAATTGTTGATTTCACCCAAAAAACTGAAAAACTAGTAAATAAAGTAAATGAGTTTAAAATGCAGGAACACAAACAACACTTCTAATCTGTCCATCACTTCTTCTTCTTCTTCTTCCATCAGAAGACCGTGATCTGTTCCTCCTCCTCTTCCTCAGCTGTCTGCACAGAAAACAGTGAATGAGTGTGTGTGAGGTGTGTGTGAGGTGTGTGTGCGAGGTGTGTGAGAGGTGTGTGCGTGAGGTGTGTGTGTCAGCTGTGTGTGTGTGTCAGGTGTGTGTCAGCTGTGTGTGTGTGTGTGTGTCAGGTGTGTGTGTGTGTGTGTGTACCAGGTGTGTGTGTCAGGTGTGTGTTTACCAGGAACAGCAGTGCGTGGTGAATGATGAACTCTCTGGTGAGTGTGAGCAGATCCTGGTTCAAGGTGTGAAACAGTGACGGGACGAGAATCAGAGCGAGATTCTGAGCCGACATCTTGTTCACCTGAGAAAACACCTGGACCCTGAAGAGACACACAAACATCAATATGTGTTACTGTGTGTGTTATTGTGGTGTGTTACTATGTGTTACCGAGTTTCTGTGTGTGTGTTACTGTGTGTGAGGTGAGCGTGTGTGTGCATTACATGTAGAAGTGTGCGAACAGTGCGCTCAGCGTGGCTCGGTTGTCGTCAGGAAGTTGCCGTAGTAACCGTTGATAAGCTTTAAACCTGGAGTGTTGATCTGAAACCACTGAGACACAAAGTACTGTTACATTCTGATTGATACTGTAGTACTTTTAGAAATACTACTCTGATACCCTGATTACTGGAATACATGTAGTACTACATGTAATTGTACTACAGATACTGTGTACGGACCTGCGGCCTGCAGCCACAGCTGTACGTTGGGAATTAAACCCTGCTGCTGGCGGACATATTGTTTGAGGGCGGAACCAGCGTCCAACACACCCTGCTCATCACTTTCCAGGGGGGCAGAGCTTGGTGATGTCATCAGAGCCGCCACCAACTGGTTCACTTTGGCAGCAAGGCCACAGCGGCGGTACACACCCTCCACCTTCAAACCTGAGACAGACATGTTTTAATTCAGGCAGCTGTGGCAGGACCCTGAGGCCCCTTGAGGGCCCCTGGTTCACTTCATCTGAAACACCTGATTTACAGCACAAGTTCTGACCGTGGGCTGTGATGTGGGAGATGCAGCGTTCGATTCCCTGCGGTACTGAACCTCTGGAGCCCACATCCAGCACCGGGTACAGAGACTGACGAGCTGAGCTGTGATTGGTCAGAGCTCTCTGCAGGTGGTTGTACCAGGACTGACAGCTGTGCTGTTCTTTGAAACGCAAAGACACGCCCCTGAAGAGAGAAACAAACTTTATCTGTGATGTCATAACGACAATTGATTCAGCCAATTGGACGCTTGGATAACTTTTTTATTTTTTCATTTTGATCGTTGGTGTGTGTGTGTGTGTGTACACACCTGTCTCCTGTTTCCATAGTGATGACGTTTTTGGATGGGTCCAATTCTGAAGGAAGACATAAAATAAAAAAAATAATAACGAGATTAAAAAAAATGTGTGTTGTTTTGTTTCATTTGTGTATTATATATGTAATAAATTCCACAGTCTGACACACATACACTGAACACAGTTCTTTATGTAAAACTATACAGTTTGTTTTCTTATCCCATGTGACCAGACTCGTAGACAAAGGTATATAACATATATACATAACAGAACCTAAACCTTATGTCTTATTAAAATGTTTTACTTCTCAAAGGTTACCATGGTGACGGAGCGTGCTCAGTTCCATCGTCACAGTCTGCTGTGAGTGTCTGTGGACGGGATGAACGCTGACGGCGTCCTCGCACAGTAACAACCAGGCGTCAGACTGACTGGAGGCTCCGCCCACTTCAACCACACACACTTTACTGACAGCCGAAGCCCCGCCCACCTCCGCATAAGACACACCCCCTGGGAGAATCACCTGGAAAAAAGAAAACTGTGGTTACATGGATCCGACACACACACACACACACACACACACACACACACACACACACACAGTCTTTACCTTCAGGATGTGAACCAGGTGAGTCATCAGAGCGTCGTGATCGTCAGCTGCACAGATCAGCTGATCACTCAACGTCACCATCTCAAACTCATGGGCCTCTCTGAACACACAGGAAGAGGAAGTGACATCATCAGCAATCAGACGCTGAGGAGCTGTGTTCAACTGCTCGCAGGAATTATCTGTACTGAAGTACAAGTAATACTCCTAGTACCAGTAGTACTAGTAGTAGAAGTGTTTACCCGTATTTGATGAACACTGACAGAACCTCCCGCAGGTCGAGGACGTCACAAGCTGCTGAATCGTTTTCTAACGAGAAAAGAAAACGATCTTCTTCCAGTTTCCCATGAAGCTCCTCCTCCTCACCTGAGACACAGACACATACACACACAGGTAATACACAGGTAACACACACACACACACACACA